AATTTTTGATTGTTCCATGCTATTATATTACCCACTTTGGATGTTTATGGGCTTTATTTTACACTTTTATATCATTTTTGGGACTAACCTACTAACCGGAGGCCCAGCCCGAATTGTTGTTTTTTTGCCTATTTCTGTGTTTCGAAGAAAAGGAATACAAACGGAGTCCAAACAGAATGAAACCTTTGGGAGCGATCTTTTCGGAACAAACGCAATCTAGGAGACTTGGAGTGGACGTCAAGCTGCAGACGAGGCGGCCACGAGGGTGCCCGGCGCGCCCCCTAGGGGTGGGCGCGCCCCCACCCTCGTGGGCCCCTTGTTGCTCCACCGATGTACTTACTTCTCCTATATATACTCCCGTACCTGAAAACATCGAGGAGCACCACGAAAACCTAATTCCACCGCCGCAACCTTCTGTATCCGTGAGATCCCATCTTGGAGCCTTCGCCGGCGCTCCGCCGGAGGGGGAATCGACCATGGAGGGCCTCTACATCATCTCCAAGGCCTCACTGGTGAGTTGTGAGTAGTTTAGCACAGACCTTCGGGTCCATAGTTATTAGCTAGATGGCTTCTTCTCTCTCTTTGAATCTCAATACAAAGTTCTCCTCGATCTTCTTGAAGATCTATTTGATGTAACTCTTTTTGCGGTGTGTTTGTCGAGATCTGATGAATTGTGGGTTTATGATCAAGTTTATCTATGAGAAATAATTGAATCTTCTCTTCTTTTATGTATGCTTGGTTATCTTTGCAAGTCTCTTCGAATTATCAGTTTGGTTTGGCCTACTAGATTGATCTTTCTTGCAATGGGAGAAGTGCTTAGCTTTGGGTTCAATCTTGCGGTGTCCTTTCTCAGTAACAGCGGGGCAGCAAGGCACGTATTGTAGTGTTGCCATCAAGGATAAAAAGATGGGGTTTATGTCATATTGTCTGAGTTTATCGCTCTACATCATGTCATCTTTCTTAATGCGTTACTCTGTTCTTATGAACTTAATACTAGATGCAGGCAGGAGTTGGTCGATATGTGGAGTAATAGTAGTAGATGCGGGCAGGAGTCGGTCTACTTGTCATGGACGTGATGCCTATATACATGATCAAGCCTAGATAATCTCATAACTATGCGCTTTTCTATCAATTGCTCGACAGTAATTTGTTCATCCACCATAATACTTATGCTATCTTGAGAGAAGCCACTAGTGAAACCTATGGCCCTCGGGTCTATCTTTTATCATATAAGTTTCCCATCTACGTTTATTTGCATCTTTACTTTTCAATCTATATCATAAAAATACCAAAAATATTTAGCTTATCTTATTATCTCTATCAGATCTCACTTCCGCAAGTTACCGTGAAGGGATTGGTAACCCCTTTATCGCGTTGGTTGCGAGGTTCTTGTTTGTTTGTATAGGTGCGTGGGACTTTTGAGGAGCCTCCTACTGGATTGATACCTTGGTTCTCAAAAACTGTGGGAAATACTTACGCTACTTTATTGCATCACCCTTTCCACTTCAAGGGAAAACCAACACAGTGCTCAAGAGGTAGCAACACCAACCACGTCGGACCCGGCCCATGCTGGCCCACCCAACCCCACTTATATTCGTCCCCATCCGCTCGCCGGAGCAAACCCTAGCCACTACACTCCACTCCCCTCCGCCACTTTAAGCTCACCTCCAGCGGTTTTCGGCCTTCTCCGCCATGGCAGGCAGCAGATCAGACTTCGACCAGTCCGGATCCGTCGACTGGGGTGTCATCCCGTGTGGGTTGAAGGAAGCAATGACAGTCCGCACTGCACTCCGCCGCTCCCGGGAGGACAGCGCCCGGCCGACGGACGGATCCGTCCGCCGCGACGCCGTAGCGTCGGCTCATCGGGCGCTTGCGTCCTCTGGTGTTGGATCCTCGCGGCCCCAGCAGCGGGAACACCTCTCCTTCCATCACCGGCCGGGCAGACTATGAGTCCCATCGGGAAAGGGCGGCCCGATGTGGGAAGGAGAGGATAAGGGCCGCCGAGGCTCGTATCACGGCGGAGGTAGCCGATGCGGTGGCGTGGACGGGCGCAGAGGAGGAAGCCATCCGCGCCTGCATTGTGAAGAAATGGCAGCAGAGGAACATGTGCGCCCTCGCTCGAGAGCAGAATCGAGTGGTCTGTGCCATGGCTGGACTGCCACCGAAGGAGGAAAAGGAGGACAGCGATGGCGAGGACAGCTCCAGCGACGAGTAGATCCGGCTTGATCCGTACTTCTTCGACCGGTACTTCAGTGAGAAGGACGGCAAGGGCGCCGGGATGGGCAAGGGTAGCCGTGGATGAACTCCACCATAGCCAAACATGCCAAATTTTTGTAGTCCAATGGCATGTTAGTTAGTAGCGATGGAGTAGCCGGATGATGTGTATACATCGACGTAATTGCATGAGTTTGTATGGATTTAAGATATGGTAATTGAGGTGTCCGGGTGTGAATTACATTATTCGAGGGGTACCCGGTCAGTGCCTACGAACGTGCCCAAACTCGTCCACGGGCGTTTGAGGGGTCCAGATTTGCCAAGTCCGGTTGTAGACGCTCTTAGGGATGCTGTTGGAGATGCTCTAACCAGTGCTAACCGTATAGTCACTACGTATCTTTTCTCTCCATTTCATGCTAACACGGATCTGTATTTCATCGGAGACCCTACGAAGCCGACTCCCAAACACATGAGCCACGAAGGTGAGTGGGAGAGGAGAGCGGCCATGAATAGACGATGATTGTCGTAGCAGCAGCGTAAGTGCTGACTCGACGACGCTGCGAGGAAAGGGGATGGGCCGCGGCTGTGGCAGTGGACAGCGACCTTGCAGATGAAGGGCAGCCAGGGAAGCGCGGTGAGTGGGTCGGGTCGGCGCAATAATAATTTCGCGTGAGAAAAGGAGGGAAAGGTAAAGATCGCGCGGGGCCCCGTAAGGCACGTCAGGAGCAGGCCACTGGCCGGCCGGCCGGCCAGTCCAAGGCCACCTTCTTTTGTTAGATTCCACCAGCGCCCGCCCGGAGATTCGCTTCCACCACCATTCCCATTCCCATCCATCCATCCATCCATCCATCTCGCGCCCCGCACACTCGCTCGCTCGCTCGCCATCGGCGGATCGCCAAGCCCACGCGATAACGACCCGCGCGGCGGCCTGATCTTGTTCGTGCCTGATGCCATGCCCCCATCACCTTTCCATTCCTCGCTCGCGCTGCCGCTCTCTCTTCCTTGTAGCTTTTCGCGCGATCCGTCGTCGATCTCGTACCGTATCTAGCTCTGGGTGGCAGGGGGCATGTACGCCCATGCCTCGCGCCGGCACTTGCATGGAAGTGGTTGGTGGATACTCGTTCCCACCACTGTAAAACACAGGCGCATACATATGTTGTTCTGCACTGCACACATGAAATATTGCCAGTGAACTGCTGACCAGAGCCCATTTCTGTTGGATTATACTACCTATGATGTTTTCTGTTCTCTCTCTCTCTCTCTCTCTCTGGTTTGATTTGGTTTGCACTACCACTAGTTCTTCCCACGAGTTGCGTGCTCTAATCAACAGGCCGGTGTTTAACTTGCTTGTGAAATTATACAGAATAAACAATAAGCCCCAGCGTAAGTACGTAACCGGCGGGGAGGTGTGTACGTCAAGACTGAAACGTCAAAATAATGGATCCATCGGTTCTGCAAGAAGATCAGGAAAAGCCTGAGTGTGCAAACTATGATTTGTCTGCAAACAGCTCTGAACTAATGATATCACCCCATCACCTAATCCTCTGAGATCGACATTCCTCGTGCTTCTCTCTCTCGCTTTTATCCTACTCCTCCTCCTGACTTATTTTCATAATTCCGCCTAGTGTTGCATCGTCACTCCGCACTACGTTGCAAACCCGGAACAACTCTTGATCTTGTCTTCTACGTAGCATCAAGCTTATAAGTTATTTAACAGATTCAGTGGTGCGTGGGAAGTAATTATCTGTCAACCACAGGCCGGCCCTTTCTTCCCAAAACATGTCAAACGGTCTTACTAGCTTGGGATAGACACAACAAAATTTTATCCGGCTTCTTGGACCAAAGACAACGACAACAAATCATTATAGCATCAGCTGATGCTCTGTACCATTTCACCAGATATTGTCTTCTAGAAAAAACAACATACACAGGGCCATTTGTCACTCTCAATCTCAATGAAACTCCAACACGTATTATTATAATTAAGGTCTATGCAGCAGAAGCTGCCTGGATGAGCGGTATTTGGCTCTAGCTTAGTTTGTATCAGCCAGAGATCTCTCAAAGATCCCTTTGAACATTGACCTAATGCCACTCTTTTTGGATCAGGTAAAGTAAGGGTTATGCTAACTGAAAACGGGATATGCGAGCAGAAAAAAGAAAGAAAGGGTTTAACGAGATCATTCCTGAAACAAATAGAAACTAGCACGTACGTATATATGGTCTAGCAAAGCTTTAGTGGTTCATGTTTGATGACCAAAAGTAGTAGGCCGTGCAAGTGTCTGTCCTAAACTTCCCGTCAAGAAGACAAGAACTGACATCCCAACAAGACAAGAAACATGTAAATGTAAATCATGAATCGATAATGCAAACCTAGCTAGCTAGCTATAGCTATAGGGGTTCCGGCCGTATGACAGAAGCATGCACGTAAGTTTGCTCCAAAAGGAAGAAGAATTTGTTAACCTTACAGGACGATCGAAACACAAAAGCAAAGAGCAAAGAAATTAAGGAAACAAATCAAATCATGGCGTACGCCAAGAACTTGTGGCGAACGATGATGATAAAAATCGATGCGAGTCTAAGAGCTAAAGCTATGATCACCCACCTCCTCGATCACCTCCAACATACGTACGTGAGCCATCCATTAATGTCTGTCGCCTCCTACGCTTGCTTGCGCCGCTTCAAAACCCTACATGCGCGTACCGTTGATCTGAGGACCCAATGCATGGCATGGATGGATGCATCCAGTCGTCGCACGTGCATTGCTGACTTCGCTCCATCTCCACCGATCATGGCCTCCACGCGCTTGCCCACACCAGAGGCTGCTCCTTCCACGCCAGGAACACGCCGGCTCCGGCCGCCGAGTCATCCGTGCTGGCCTCCCGCATCGACCAGCCCTCCCGATACCGGCGCAGAAGTGACCGCACGTCGTCGGCTACGTCCTCGCTGAATGGCACCGGTGAGAACCCGGCCGACCGCAACCGCCGTGCCCATGCCGCCGCCGTCTCCCGCCGCTCCATGGACTCCGACGCTGGGCACGAGACCAGGTCAACGATGGCACGCCCTGCTCCCCTCTCCAATGCCAGCCTCTCGTTGCTGGTCTTGGGGAAGCTCTCCTCTAGCGAGTCCATGTAAGCCGAGAAGAACCGCAAGCCCTCGCCGAACACCTTCAAGAATGCCGCCTCCGTGTCGCCGCCTTCGTCGGACGCGTCGGGGTCGGTCGCCACCAGGTCTGCCTCCTCCTCGACCACGGTGACGACCCGAGGTTCGAGGCGGCGGAGGGACGCGGCGAAAGCGCCGCGCCGGCGGGCACCGCCCGGCACCACGCCGCGCAGCGAGTTCATGCAGTTGACGGCGATGCCGGTCGTGGCGCCGCCCCCACGCAGGTCGAGCGAGTCGAGGTCGAGCTCCGCAAGGTCCCCGGAGTGGTGCACGGCGCGGAAGCGGAAGGGCACGCCCATCAGCCGCGCGAACTTCTCCATGCGCTGCCCGATCTCCCGCATCACGCGCTGCACGGCGGACGTCGGAGCCGACGGCGCGGCCGACACGACGGTGGTGATGGACAGGTGCGGCGTGTCGTCGGGGGACCGGGTGGCCAGGGCCTCGAGCAGCGTCGGCCACTGCGTGCAGAAGGTGTTGCTCAGGTCGAGGATGTGAAACCTCTGCGGCTCCGACGACGCGGCCGCGGCCTCCAAGAAAGATTCCAGTATGGCGCCGTTGGCGGCCACGTGCCCGAACGACGACCAGGGGCTGAGCTCCTGGAAGCGCAGCGCGGTGCGGCGCGTGGAGTCGAAGGACGTGTTCCGGTCGGTCGCCGCCGCGAGCGTGCGCAGCGTCCTGGGGCCGGACGCCGTGAGCCGCGCGAAGAGACCCTGCAGGAAGTAGGACGCAAGCTTCTGCTCCACGTCCCCGTACGGGGACGCCAGCTCGTTGAGCATCCACATCAGCTGCTGCACGCGCTGGCTCTCGCGCGTCGCAACCGCGCGCGCGCACTCCATGAGCAGCTGGCTGGCCCACCTCCCGCCGCCACCTCCCCCCACCGCGGCCGATGACGCTGTGCCCCCGGCGCCGGACGACGACGCCGGGGACGAGAAGTCGAGGTTGAGGTCCGGCGGGAAGGACAGGTCGGCCGCCTCGAAGAGCGCGTGGCCCGCCCCGCCAGCCGTGGACGAGGTGGAGAGCGGGGGCGTGGGCGCAGTGGGCGTGGCGGACGACGTGGGCGGATGGGCCGCCCCGCCATGCGAGTGGAAGTGCTGCCTCGACGAGGACGAGGAAGAGAAGTCTTCATCCATGTAGAGGTGGTGCTGGTGGGCGTTGCCACCGCATTCTTCTTGGTACGGCTCCAGGTAGTAGGACTGCTGCGGCTGCTGCTGCTGGCTGTAGTAGTACTGCCCGCCGCCGCCGCCGCCGCCGCTGCTGGAGCTGTGGTGGTAGTAGTTGTAGGAGGCGTTGGTCTGGTGGGAAGACGACCTGGAGCCGCTGGAGGTGGTGCTCCTGGAGTTGTACGACGCCGATTGCTGCTGCTGCTGCTGCTGCTCGGAGGCTTGGAGGCTAACCAACCTAAACAGCGTATCCATGTAAGCTACGGCGAGGGGGCAACATGAGGGTTACCGCACCGTGGCGCCGAGGGATTTTAATGGCCGGCGAGCTGCACCTGCACGTACTCCTACGTAGGGATCAGCTGGCCAGCGCTAGCCTGTGCGCCTATGCGAATTGTTAGTTAGCTAGGCTATGCGGTGTGGTGTGGTGTGGTGATGTGTATTCTTTTGAGTGGGAGAAAAGCTGGAGCGCCCCTGCGCGACGCGCTCGCTTTCCTCCTCTCCGCAGTTCCACTTGTATCTTTTGCGGCGAGATCGATGGTATTCCGCCTCGCTTTTGGCCGGATCGATGAGGAGGCTGGAGAGAGAGAGAGAGGTAATATGGTGATATGTGCTATCGCTCGACCATATTATTGGGGAGATTCTTCTCTCGAGTTTAATCTACCACTGGCCGGGGGGCAGCGCCGGGTGTGGTTCAGTGGATGTGGGTGCCTTTTGCCTTTGCTTTTTCTCAATCTCGATCTTACGGCCTACTAACCTATAGCTTTGCCGTGTTGTAGGGCTTTCTGTTGGCTTTTGCTAACGAACCCTGCTCAACACACACTGTCACGGTTGTCACGTTTCCGTTGTGACAATGTGCACATGCAGAAGGATGGGTTTGATCCACTTTGACTGCTCCATTCCACATGGGCAATCTCGATCGCAATAGCTGTTGTTAAGTTGCCTGAAAATCGGAGAGGTCGTAGGAAAGTTTTTTTTTGAGATGGTAATAGGAAAGGTGCTAGCAATCAGTCGATGGAGAAAACGATATGTCATTTGATTCATATGATAGGAATTCTGTTTTTCAATAGGTCTAAGCTAATGCCTTTTTTTCCTTTTAAAATGTGAAGGATACATAGGAAACCAATCCTACGTAGGAATAGGAATCCATTCATACAAACCACAGAGTTCTAAAAAAATTATACGAACCATATAACCTATATAATTCCTACAAAATTACTATACAAACCAAGGAGGCCCAAGTCGATATTTCTAGAAAAGGGAAATGGAGGCGAGGCAGAGCTCCGAGACCAAGCCGGAGGCAGCGATGGCAGTGCTCGCTGCCGCGTCGTTGACGTAGGCCAGGACAACGACTTGACCAATGCGGGTGGGTGGTGGAGGGCTTTTAGATACGATCGCTGTTAGGATTAACTACAAGAACCCTTTCACAAAATCTAACACCAAAAACTTTGGAGAATTGTGAGATTAGTTTCTAATCGGTTCCTAAAACAAGAATCTACATGAACCCTAAAAGACAATTTGAATCTCGGTGCTTCTTGTGTTGTGCATCCATATGAACATGCACCTCATAGTTACATATGGTACATTCATCTGGGTTATTGGTCTCCTTCGTATTTCGTGCCAAATTGCCCGTAAATTTTACTAACAAAATATAAGTTGGTATGCCACAAAATTAATATTGTTGGATTTATATCCAATAGAGGTTTTCAATGATACTATTTTTTATATATACGTTATTTTTTGGTAGTTAAAAGTTTGGCCCAAAATACAAGGGGGCTAATAAATCAGGACGGGGAAGTACCACACAGCTTAAACTTTATAATTAACTATGTTGCGTAATTAAACTTCAAGTTGTCGTTAACAGAAGCTTGCAAGTTCTTGCTTTGAGCTACCCGTTGAACAACATAGGTCCAACAGAATATATTCTATAATTTTAGCTTATCTAAACCCATCTCAAACTAAACATTTCCTAAACTCGACTGAAGTAAAACCTAAACTATGGATTGAGAAACTCGCTTAGGTTAAACTTCTGCCCGATGATGACCTAGGCCTAGATGTCGGTGTCCCGTGTCGTCGCCGCGCATTTGCCTCCTCCCCTCCCACCGTTGTGTCCTCGTCAGCGGCCAAGTTGTCTCGTGGCTCGTCCCAAGCGTTGATGTAGTCGGTGCGGACCATGATGTGCGTGGGGCGGTGCTCACGGAGTATGCAACCTTGCACTCCTCCATAGAGTGCTCCTAGTTGGCCATGCTCCTAGGTGGCAACGTGCACACGGTAAGCGCGCTCACTCCCATAATAGCCTTTGGACTCTTCTACTAGGTGCTACCGTCGGCAGCGCGCTCTTCAGTTGCACGGAGCGAGTCCGCGCCCGAGTTCAAGAGGACGACATTGT